TTTTTCTCCTTTGGACTTCTACCTCCTCTTTAATCTCAGGATTGCCTGTAATGGCTATTTAAAATGCAGGAATGTTGTTGTGAGAGAATAGGTGTTACTTTTAAAACACAGGAACACTTTTAGAACACAGTTTGGGTTTCCTTTGGGCAACCTTGACTCCACAAATGGCAAAAGCTTGGATCTGTGCATTGACATCTGATGCACTGATTTGCATCAGATGCTCTGTGTAAACTGATCAAGCTTAGTGCTTGCCAGGAAATTGTACCAGGCATTTCATACTTCATGAAATCTGCAAAAATAAAGCCTAAACATTTATTTCCAAAGATCTACTGCTGTGTCACCTGGCTGTGACTTCACTCAGTCTAATAAATCGAGCAGGCTTCCAGAAATAAGCTGAAAAATCAAACTGATAGGTCCCTGGATGCTGCCTTCTGTTTGTTATCCAATATAGACCCAATAACCCTAAATTTAAGATTTGTTCAGTTGTTTTTTGTCTTTGTTGGGTCTTTTGACCCCGACACAATTTCCCACATTTTGGGAAACAGCAGCAACAGCACACCTGAATGTGAGAGCTAAACCTCACCCTAAGAAAACCGTGTCCCTTAACATGGTGTTTCTCTGTTGCTGACAAATGTGTCTCTTGTCCGAGCGGACCAAAACCATTACTGTGACTGAAGATAGTGTAGCAGGTTTATGAGGAAACAGAAGTTTTAAATCCTGATAATTTAGCCAGATTGTCTCAGTTTCATGTATTCTTCCAACCTTGATTAATCTCATGATTTTAAGACAGAACACGATTGTGACTTCCTATGCAGAAACATTACATTTTGGCTCATTGAGGGGATTCCGTCCCTCTCTGTTTCAGATCCAAGAATGCATCTAGGGTTTTGTCATACTCTTAGTATTAGAAAGCTGTAGAAACATGGAAAGTTCAGAAAAGAGCAACTGGTTGGTCACAATACTAATGTTGAGAACTGAATGACAGAAAAATAAATTAAATATGCATAAACTGTGTAAACAGTATTTCTGATGAAAGGCTCCTGCCTGAAGGAACCGTGGAAATCTGGCTACTTTCATCTTTGAAAAATTCAGCAGAAAGAAGCCCTCTAAAATACACCTCAGTAAACCACTGCTTGGATACAGAAGAACTGTGTGGCTGCTTCTGCCACCTTTTCCATTGCAAGGAAGAATCCCAATCTTTGTTTTAGTAATTAAAATAATAAAAATAAAATAGAATTTCTAACATTTCTTTTTCTCCAAACTGTGACCCTTCAGCCCATGCGCTTCCGATGTTCCGTGAACCACGACAGCGAAGCACAAGGAAGCAACTGGAGAAGGATAGGTTGGACCCCATGAAGTCTCACAAACCTGAACCTCCAGTAGCTGGACCAGGTAATCTAGGCATAATCATTTCAGACTGTCATATGCCAAAGGGACCATCATGCTTGGGTTCTACACTCGTTTGGATTTACATTCAAACTTCTTTGGGTGGCAACTCCACTATATATGTATGGGTGCTGTACCATGTCCAGCACTGTAAGACATTGGTCTCTGATTGGAGTGCTTGCCTGGAATAAATTAATAATCACAATGACTAACTTTAAGTTATATAATCAATAAAACACTTAGGTGAATCCAGCTGTAAATTAGACTCTTTCTATAGTATTAAATAACTTCTTTGTATCAGATCACTGTTACAGACACAATACAACATTTCTCTGTTTATTTCTTAAATATGTTTC